AAAGAGTGTAAAGAGAAATTGTTCAGCAGTGGCCTGGAGACATCCTGAAATGAGTGGTAAGTTTTGGTCTGAAGTCTTGCCAAGTTTAAGCAAAGTTGCACAGTTGCTTTACAGCGTGAAGTTGAGAATAACACCCCAGCTGGAGGTAAGCATGTTTCTGCTGCTCGGGCAGGGCCACGTGAAGGTCATTCCAAACCAACAATGAAGTGTGTCAGTTATATTAGACTTTCCCACAGATGCAGACTTCAGCCCATAGACCATTCTTCTTTGAAGTAGTATTGTTAGAAGTTGCCTCCCCACAAATACACAACCTGCCTTCCCGATGCCCATCTGGGAAGCCTGGCTCCCTTGTTTTGCTTGGACATTGCTGTTTGTGTGAGAATCCCTTAAGATGAGAGGACTCAGCTGTACACAATTCATCAGAATATTCTGTGACAGATGGTCCCTGTGGACACATCATGGGCACAGCCAGGCCGGGGCTGCAGTGATCCCTTGGCACCACTGCTTTCTTTTCCTAGCAAGTATTTTTCAATACGTGTGCTGATAAACCATTGGTTGAGCTCTTTGCATCTGAGTGTGAATGAAATACCTTGTGGTTTGAACTTTGGTTTTCTGTAAGGGTTCATCCACAGGATTTTCTCTGGAAAAACTCCTACAGAAAGTCATCGTGTGGTGGGGTACAAGCTGCAAGAAAGTTCTTTCATGATCAATAAAAGCGTTTGAAGCAAAGGATCAGGCTGTGGATGGCAGCTATGAGAGGTATCTGTGAGCAGGCTCTGCCTTTGACCTTGGCCTCTCCTTGTTTGAAGAGGACAGCCTCAGCAAAAGGCATGCTTTGAGACCGTGAAAAGAAGAGTAGTGGTGTTTTGAGGAGCTCCCTGGACACCTGAGATTTAGCATTTTTACTCATTTCCTGGTCATCTGGGAATGGGAACGGAATGGGCTTGTGTAGTATTTTCACTTCGAAGTACGTGAACTGCACAGGAGCTTGTAAAAATACAGAGCAATGGCAAAGATCTGCTAGTTAAATTAAGATCTATTGCAACTATTTATTTCGAAATAAATATAATAGAACCAATCAAGCAGTAGGGCAGAAACACTGCAAATGTTGGGTCAGTGGGTTTAGAAAAATACAATAAACCTTATCACAGAAGGGTACCTAAAAACAGTGGAACAGGCAAAAGAGTGAGCATGGCCCAGGTTAGTATTGCTTGGAGAAGAATTGCTTCAGGACCGAAGGCAGTAGTTCCAGCCTTTCTAAAAAAAAATCTCGCCACCATCCTGTCCTCTGTGCACTAGCATGAGATAGGAAGTAATGATTTGGCATTTGGGTGAAGTATCAGTGCCTTGTCAGTGGTGAGGTAGTCAGAGCTGATCAGCAGCTTGCTTATTTGCTTCATGTGCTTTCCAAACAGAGCTTAGTTCAATTTTGGGAGAGGAAATCTGGGCACAGAAACACTGTTCTAAAGTGCTCCAACTTGCATCACTTATGAAAGAGCTCTCCAGAGGTGCCATATGGATAAATTCACATTTTACAGAGAAGAGAGCTCAATAAATAGAAACACTTTGAGAGAGGTGGGCTTGAAGCTTTCTGTACTTTGAGCCTAAAATAACAAGGTTCACAATTCGGTGCCAGAGTACAACTTTCTCATCTGTTGAGGGTTTCAGGTGGCTCTTCCTGTCTGGGGAACTGCTCTTTGAGGTTAGCGGGTATGTGTACAGTCAGTGAATCACAGAAAGTATGATGGACACTGGACTGTTCCCTTAGAGTGAAAATATTTGGCACCTTAAAAGCCAAGCCACAGAAATGCCTTTTACCAATCCAGGCAATCATTTATGAGAGGGAAAGGAGAAAAAATACTGCAGACACGCCCAGAGCACTGTGTTGATTATTTGTTCAGTTCATTTTAGCTTAATCCTCTAGTTAGGAAAACAAAACAAAACAAAAAAACCCTGCATTAAAATAGTACAAGGGTTTTGACAAAATTCTGCTCCAGTTAAATGACACCTTTTCTGTGTAAAAGGTCTTCCAAGCAATGACATAAAATTACAAATTTATGGAATTAGGAGTGGGTTGGGGTTTTTTCATCTGAACTTTTACTGGTTTGCTACAAAATACCGCAATTAGATTTGGCTTTGAAGGAGTATCTTGCATCTCAGAAGCCGTGTAACTTCAGAAGAATTTTTATTCCAGGTACGAACTTTGGAGGCAGAGGCAATGTTTAATTTAAATGAAAAGCAGTCACATAGTCAGTCATTTCCAGAATTATAGTGTGCCTTTACAAAAAAATTCATCTGCACAGTCATCTCTAAATGCCATAACACACTGCAGGACTGCCCGTTTTTCTATTAAAAGCAGCTGGTCCATTTTGTGTTAGACCTGCTGTGACTCACTAATTTTTTCCTATCTGTGGAGTGAAGGAGGGCAATCAGGCTTTTATTCTCAGCTTCTTAATATGCTGAACTTTTAAAGATCCAGTTTGCTTCTCTGTTTTGTTTTTCCTGTTCTGCTCTTCCACTCATCTCGCGGGGATGAGAGTGAGGACATCTTTGCTCCTCGCCCTCCGTTGGGAGTGCAGAAAACCTGCCTGTTCTTTGCTGGAAGCAGCACCATCTGCTGGGAAACCTCGTCTCAGGCTCAAAATAATCCACAGCAGGAGCCAACACTTCAGGGCACTAAATGCAGGCTTAAATAATAACAGAACTTTGCTTTTATTATCATGAAAGAACTGTGAGCCATGATGTAAAGAATCAGTTTTGGTTTGGTGCCATCAGGTTTCTGCTTAAATAGGTTTTATTCTAAAGATGGTGCGGTACTTGGGCAAGTATAGAGCTGAAGGAATAAAGGGAACTTGGCATTTCTAGGAAAAAGAGGAGTTTGATTCAAAACGCAAGGGTAGCAATTCACAGCTCTTGGCCATACATTACATTTATTTAAACTCGAATCAAGTTTAAAAAAAAAAACAAACTTTTTTTTTTTTTTAAGGAAGAAGCACTCTGTCATGTAATTGGTAAATAGGTTACATCTTCAGCCAGACTCCTTTTAGATATAAAGTGTGTTTGCTTTCTTGCACCTTTTACAGGTACCTGTAGACAAACCGTGGGCATAAATGTACACACTGGGACAGCTAATCTTTTGACAGGCATTTGCAAACCAGTGAGTGAGCCGAGAAACGCAAATATTTGTGGCTACAATACGCTTGCAGCTGCACAGTGTGGTTTCAGATGGGAACTAGGAGTTTTTACATAACTACTTCTTTGAATCTACAGATCAAACCAGAGTGTAGCCTTGTTTACGCTTGAAGTTTAAAATACCACCATAAGTCACTCTGCAGTGATTTTGCCACATTTCCAAGAAAAGTTTTAAAATGTATTGTTGTTAATTGTGTTGTGAATGGCCAGACTGCGCACAAATAAACAAAGGAGCCCATAAAGGACATTGCCTTATTTGAAGATGAGATCTCCTCCTGGCACTGGGAGGGTATAGTTACATATGTGAAATACTGAAGCTAGGAGGGTGGATATAGTTACTAGCATTTTTAAGACAAGTCTTACTGCCCTCAGCTTCTCCTTGCCCCTTCCCATGTGCTCTTTCTGTCTCCATCTATCTCCTGTACTTTTCTCCACATAAGTGCTGCCTCCTGGGTGCCCCACTTTCAGTGCAACAATTTCTTAAAGGGTGCATCTCTGTGTGGGGGAAACTGGTATCCTGTGCTCGTCCTGCCTGTCAGTCTGCACAGTGACAAGGTCAGCTCTGCTCTAGCCAGTACTGCAGGAGGGTTGCAAAGCTCAGAGAGCTGTTCAGTCTGCTAAGTACAGGTGATATTTGCTTTCTCAGTGCTAACAAAACTCTTTTAAGGCCCTAGTGGAGGAAATTAGATGCCAGATCACACAAAGAGACACCTTGAAGCTCAGGAAACAGCCAGGTGTTCTGTGACTTCTCCTACTCCGTTTCCAGTCAGAAGACACTTGCTCTGCGTTACTTTAACTGAAATTAAAAAAGAAAGGTATTAGACATGGGATGGATTTGGTCCATAACTGGCTCTCACCTGACAAAACTGGTGTGATTGCTTTCCTTGACCTGAACCACTCTATGTGAGGGCCCTCACTGACCTTGGAGGACGTGGCTGGATTTCTCTTCTCCTGGCCAGCAACCTTAACTTAACACTCGTGTGGTAGCATGGACTAGAGGGTGGGGAAGAGTGATCTTCCTTTCCTCCCTCCTTTCCTTCTCTCCATCTCATTTCTCCTCCTTTGCTCCCACCAGCCATGTTAGGATATGTGTACCATACACTTGGGTGGCAGGGGAAGACGTATATGCACAGAATATTCACAATACCTTTCTCATGACTTACTAAAACTTAATGTCCATAGCACTCTTTGGGCTGTTAACACAAATCTGGGAGACAGTGACATCAGGAGACTCTTCCCAGTGCTGTCACTAACCTTTCTGCTTTACCTCGCTCTGCTTTGACATCCCTGTCTGTAAGATGAGGTGTACAGGACACTTCTCTGTGGTTTAAAAAAAACTCCCACAAAGCCCAACCAACCTTTGAGGTTTTTAGTTGAAACACATTGCATTTGGAATGAAGTGTCAGCAACTGAGGAAAATACTAACAATGATAGCTCTTTCTGTAAAATGCATGAGGTGTGTTCAGGAAACATGACCTCTTGCAGGGCTAGTTTTCCCTGCTTCATTAATTCTGTCATGCTAACGCTGCATTTCTCATGGCAGTCAGAGGTGGTTTGATTGCTCATCATCATTTTTTTTTTTTGTATTAGAGGGCAACTTCATACAGAACCTTACATATGTATTACCCAAACATAATCTCCCTATATATAGTCCAACTCCTCTCCTTGCCTGACTGTTGTTCTGCCACTCTAATCTTCCCATCTTCCTCTTCTAAAGGAGAGTGCCTGCCAGGCTTAAAGGATTTTGAAATGATCTTATGCAAAACACTAATTTTCTACTTCAGGAGACTTTTAATTATCATTCATCTCTGTGAGCATTTTACAGTGGGTTTAGTCTCTAACAATAAACAGGGGAATGCATAGGATTTACCAGTCAAGATTATACCTGCCTGGGAATTTGAGAATCCAGTTTGGCTCCTGCACAAGTCATTGCTTCCAGAGGCTGCAGGCAGAATACCTACCTCATTAGAGGGCTTTGGATAGCAATCTCTGAGTCAAAGTAAATGGAAGCTGAAATTATGATAAGAAATTATCCTCTTCTGGTAGGTACATAGATCCACAGCAACACTGTGCAATTAATCCAAATTGCCTGCTGAAAGTTTTAAAATGGAAAACTGACATTTTATCAAATTTATATTCTAATTCTTTTGGAGCTGTAATTGAGCTTACATGTTCAGAGGAGGAAAATGTCTCAGTCACATAAAGAAGAGAATTTTGCAAGTGTCTTTTGTCTTGATACCATTTCTGGTCGTCCTGCTTTCTCTTGCTGCATCTGATAGAAATGTCATCTTTCGAGGAACAAACTTTCTTCTTTAGGAATGTGGTGCCCTTTTAAAGGAGGAAAGTAAGAGTGGAAACTTGTGGAGTGCTGGTATGTAACCCAGTTACAATCGCTACAAAGGCTCAGTGCAAGAAATTACAGGAGAAATGCATGGCAGTTGTGTAATTATCTCCATTTGTTATAGTGTTTATATCACAGAGATTTCACTAGCGTATATATACACGCACACACACATAAGGTTGCATGATTAGTTATATTTGTGACATATCACAGCATTTTCCTCAGTCGTATATGTCTATGTCACCTACTTCATTAGTTAATAGGTACATGGAGTATCTACCCATTTCTGAGCCCTGGTGACCCTATGAGCTGGGAATGTGGCCAAGAGCACGAATTGTTGATGACCTGTTTCTGTTCCAGCTGTCTCTGAGGATGCATTAAGTTTCTCCAGGAACTGAGGAGCACAATACAGTTTTTTTGGGGCAGATACCCAAATGGCTGAAAGCCTGATGTGGCAAGGGATCCTTGCTATGGTTTCATTGGTAGTGCTGGCAGACGGAGCTCTGTCACATCCACAATTTACCAGGGAGATCAGTGTCTGGTCAGGATTATATCAATGCCAGTCTGGGAGATAACTTTCTCAAATGCCTTAGCTGGGCAAACTCTGGATGGCACACTTGGCGTGAAGTTAGATAGTTCATGAGCTGCATGTCAGAGCTATGTGAAGGAAGAGACTGGAAATAAATGTCTTTTGAAAGTGTGCACAGAAAGATCAGTGCATTTGTCTGCTTCCAGATATAGATGAGAGAGGAAAGAAACTTGACCATCTCCTTCAGATCTCCTTGGACTCCCATGCTGTGTGACAAACCTGCCATCCTACAGCAACTGCTGCTGCAGAGACTGTTACAACCTAGTGCTTAGGTGTCCTGGCAGATCTGTGTGCCCAGTGCTGTTGGCCCTCATTGTCAAGACTTACGCAAAAGTTCACAGAGCAAACCAAAACTTGATAATTAATAGCACTGAATAATTTTTTTTCCTTTACAGTAAATAAAAAAAAAAACTTCTCAAGCATTTTAAAGTATATTCAAAACCTCACACTTCACAGATGTGTCTGGTATGAACCTGGGCAGGTAGGACTTGAATGTTTTAACTATCTTCTCCCACCAGAGCTGGACAGCATTGAGGAACTAGAGAAGAAACGTATCTGCAGGATCGTCACAAAGGATTTCCCTCAGTACTTTGCGGTGGTTTCAAGAATCAAGCAGGAGAGTAACCAAATCGGCCCGGAGGGTGGGGTGCTGAGCAGCACGACGGTGCCGCGTGTCCAGGCGTCCTTCCCCGAGGGTGCTCTGACCAAAAGAATCCGCGTGGGGCTCCAGGTAAAGGTGCCCTCATGTTCATATCTGCAGAGTCTATAAGCACGTCGTTGATCTTAGTGCATGAAGCTTACAGCTAAGGAACCTTCTGCTCCTTAGTAGCAGGTAGCAAGGTGGGTAGTATTCACACCTGAGATCTGAATTGGCATGTGTCTGCCCAGGCACGTTCTCTGCCTCTCAGAAACCCCCTGGTGCGGGTGATGCACAGTCTTCCTCCCTGTGGCAAAAGCTCAGATCCCTTTTTATCATCACCTTCAGCACTACTTAGCATCTGAAGAATGGAGAGAAAAGCAAAGACCTAGAGCCACCGTAGCCTCAGTGATACTGTCTGCCATCTTCCTGTTGGCTACAGCTGCTGGCAGCTACAAGCTGAGCAGCCGCTCTGCAGTCCCAGTCTCCTGTGGCAAAAGAGCAGCTTGTGATTGGTGTCACTGAGCTGGCCCTTGCCATAGAAATGTTGTTGGTAAGGATTTTGTGCAGCTGTTTGCCAGCTGTTACCGGGTCAAAGACCTCCCATATACATCTCTTGTAGCTTAGGACATTCACCATTGGTGTTTCTAGCAATGGGTGCTATCTGGGAAGAGCAAATAGCTTAACCTCTCTTTAAACAAACTGCACAGAAAGTGGAGAAATATTTTGAGTTCTGTTACTTATCACTTAAAATTACTTAATAACCTGACAAGTCTGATGGGTTCATGAAATAGGGATGCTGGTTTGGATTCCAGTGCTTGGAATTCACACTGGAACATTTCTGTTAATGATATTTCACATCTACAGATGATTAATCTTGAGAAAATGGAAGCTCTGCTATTATGGTTACACAGCTGCTTTTCCAGAGCTCTCTAGCGTGAACAAAGCACAACGTCTCCATATGCAGTGTTGTGACTGCTGAGATTGCAATGTAGCTACGTGTTCTATGCATATCAATACATTGTGCAGTTCGAATAATGCAGCAAGTCATAGGTCAGCCTGATTGAAACAGACTTGAAAGTTTAAACAAAATAAAACCAAAAAGGCAAATGGATGCAAAACCCAATTTCCCATAAGACGTCTGTCACTTTTGAGTTCAAGTCTTAGGTGATGAAAACTACAAAAATTCTATAGCATTTCTTCCCATATTGGCTATTTTTCCTTTCTTCCCATATAAAGTTAGAAAACCTTTCAAGGCACAAAATGGATGTAGAAAGTCTGAAATTTTCTTATAGCTGTTCTATAGCTTAGCGCATTCTGTATGAATTTGACCCAAACAACTATTTCTTTCCTAATAATCAGTAGTGGAATAGCATAGGAGGCACTGCATACAGAGGTAAGACTTCATCAGGAGCACAGATTTGTGTTTGGCAGAGATATGAGAATTGTTCAGCATCTCCAAGACTGAGTGTCTAGTCCTCACTTCTCAAGTGCAAAATAGGCCTCTTTTTGCATTTTGAAATTGTATTTAATATCACCCATCACTGTAAATTAAAAACAAAACCAAACATGCTCTGAAAACCTCTCAGCAAATACTGCAGGCAACCTTCTGAGATTTATAGTTTTGCTCTACAAGTTAGCTATTAGGAAATCATAAGTGGGTTGTTGAGAAAAATACTAAGCATGAATTGTACTAATAATCACCCTTGAGAGCTATAGGAGAAAGCTACCTGGGAAGAAAAAGGAATAAAATTCTACAGAAAATAAAAGGAAAATTGAATTATCTTTTGGAAAACAGTTCTGCATGTCTATAACCAATTTGTAACTCTAGTTTGAATACTTTCCCTGTGTTGACAGGCTCAACCAGTTCCAGAGGAGATTGTCAAAAAAATCCTTGGAAACAAAGCAACTTTCAGTCCCATTGTCACTGTGGAGCCAAGAAGAAGAAAATTTCATAAGCCGATAACCATGACCATTCCTGTGCCGCCTCCGTCAGGAGAAGGTGTAACCAATGGGTACAAAGGAGACACGACGCCCAGCCTTCGACTTTTATGTAGCATTACAGGTTAGAGAAAATCATGCTCTTTGCAAAGATTTCTGTGACAGCAATGCCTCTGCGCTCGCTCTCATAACTGTACAAATCATGCTTTCCGTCAAGGGAACATTGGTGTGCTTGGTCCAGTAGAGTTCAGATCAGTTTTCCTGAGCAAAGCCAGCTGAGGTCATTCGAAAGGCTCCCACTGATTCCCTGGGCTTTGAATCTGGTCTCATGCCATTGTAAAAGAACTCTGCCAACAGATATTAAATGCTATTTTATATTTAGGCAATATGAAGAATTTCAACCTTGGCTATTAAACATGGTTGTCAGTAAAAGTAATCTGCAGAAGTAATTCTGTCCTAGCTGATATCAAGGCGGAGTTTGCTATTGACTTGTAGGTATGTACTTTGCTTACATCAGCATCGCTTTCTGGTGTGTAACATATGATGTAATATATAACACGTAGCTCAGCTGTTGGAGAACTTTATTGTCTAGGTTCTCTTTTTATGTGTGAAGCAAAATAACTTAAGATAGAGACATTCTTAAGTAGTCTGTATATGCTTGGTGTTTAAAAGAAAATCTCCACGGCTTATGTTTACATAGGAGGTACTTCACCTGCGCAGTGGGAGGATATCACAGGCACCACTCCGCTGACGTTTTCAAATGACTGTGTCTCATTCACAACCAATGTTTCAGCCAGGTATGGTAACAGAGCTTGCCAACTGTACCTAGGGAGTAGTTTCCCTTGATTAACAAAGTGCATAGTTGTAGGGTTTGCTTTTGGCTTTCTGTAAGTCTTTTGCAAGACCAATGAAGCGGTAATGGACCAGATGCTTCTTTGTCACTGTGTATCAGCATCCCACACGTATAGTGTAGCACATGAAGCTTTGTGCTGGCCTTTTCTGCTGTGGTGATGTCTCCTGGCAGTCACACATGCTGTTTCTCTAAAGGCTGCGATGCCACACAGGTTTGTTTTTCTGCAAACAGTAACAGAAAGGGAAAGATTAAAATGCTCATTCAATAAAAAAATTGCAGGAATTCTTAAAAACATGTTTGTTTAAAAAGTTAAAGACATTCAGTTTCTGGCTGTGGGCTTTTTAGTTGAAAATAACATAAAATTCCTCTCAAAAATATCATTTGCCAAAAAATCATGGTTTGAAATGAATGTTGATGGACTTAGTGGACTTACATGCTGATTGGAGGCATTCAACAGGATCTGTACAAATCATGCATCCTAGTGGACAAAATCTGTGATATGCCAGGTAAAGAGTTTATCATTCAGTACACAACATATGCACCTGTAAAAAGCTTCATAGAGAGAATTGCTGAAAGAACCAAATAGATCAGGGCTGAAATATGGCGGAAAAGACTCATACAAACTACAAATTAAAATATTTATAACTTGTATCAAAACTGCCATCAAACTCTTAATCATAAGATGAAAAAATAACAGCATAACATCTGTCTCTTTGGGAAACTCACTGTGGGCATATTTGGTTTCAACCTATATGGGAGATGTGATTTTGCTGTATGTATGTGTTACAAAGGAGGTTGTTTTAGCAAATCAAATGTACAGTGAAGCATCAGCATGTTAAAACACAGGGGGTGTGGTCACAAGAAGTACAATTTCCCAACTTTGGCTTCAAATGGGGCTTAAACCAGACAGTTTTATGAGATACCAATGTGAGAAGGGTCAAATAAGTATATCAATGTTTCATTGCCAGGTATTTCCATTTTTGGACAGTTAAAGCTCCACTGAAAGTGGAAGGAAAATTACAGCTTTGGGAAGTCTGCAAGGACCGTATACATGCGAAATGGCCAAGGATCACAGGACTGGTTTCTTTTTAAAGGCCTAAGCAATGTTTGGGCATAATGAAAAGTTGGTTTAATGGTTTGCTTTTTCCCCCCTCAGATTTTGGCTCGCAGACTGCCATCAAGTACTAGAGACTGTTGGGCTGGCAACACAGCTTTATAGAGAATTAATATGCGTTCCTTATATGGCAAAGTTTGTGATATTTGCCAAAATGAATGACCCTGTGGAATCCAATTTGCGTTGCTTCTGCATGACTGATGACAAAGTGGACAAAACTTTGGAGCAACAAGAGAACTTTGAAGAAGTTGCAAGAAGCAAAGACATTGAGGTATATTTCTTACTCACAGCCGACATCCTCCTTGCAAATGGACAATATGTTTTCCAAGTGGCGATAGGTCCTGCAAAAGCCACTGTAAGCCCAGTTAAATAAAGGTTCACAGCAAGGCTGTGTCAAAAAAATTCTTGAAAGGAGGCCAGAAAAGGACAAGGTGGGGGGAACATGAGGACCTCGCTCCAGATGGGTACCCCAGGACAGCCTGCAGTGGATTTTGCATGTGCTGCTGTCGAGTAGCCCTGGCTGGGCTTTGCAGATGGCTGACCTGGAATTCCTTCTCATTGGCCGCACAGACACACAGTCATGAGTAGGGCTGGTTTGTGGTGAATACGTAGTCACCAACACACTATTTCTTGAAGGAAATCTACACATTCTTACTCCAGAAAAGCCACTCATGTAGCTCACCGTTTCCTAAATTGCCTGCGTTCATAATACCTTGCCATAATGCACAGTGAGTTTCTAATTTGTTGTTGAATTTAATCTGAGCGGCGACTTGTGCTTAACTCGGGAATGATGACGGGGGAAATCATGATATACTTATGTGCATGAATCTAGTATGTAAAGAAGTTTTACTGACTTTTATTTATTGCTTTGATAGGTTCTGGAAGGAAAACCTATTTACGTTGATTGCTATGGAAATCTGGCCCCTTTGACTAAAGGAGGACAGCAGCTTGTTTTTAATTTTTATGCTTTCAAAGAAAATAGACTGCCATTCTCTATCAAGGTAAAAGCAAAACAAGCCAAATAATTCTGCTGGTATTTCACCCCCTCAGTGATAACACTTTTTCAGCCTGATAGGACTAACTTGCTCTGAGGATGTAAGTGTCATTCTTTAATGTGTGAATAACATGGAGAGAGTGCTTTGCATGAAGCCACAAAAGAGCTGCTAGCGGAGCTGGGACGAGAATACCCATGATATGGATTCACAGCCTTTTATTAAAACCATATCTCAAGTTAGACCTCCAGAATATTACCAGTAGATCATTATTTCCCAAGGGCTAAGCAAAGAAGATGCATTCAATAACATATTGTACAGCAGAACAGCCTCCAAAAAGTGTGTGCAGACTGTTCATCTCTAAATTACCACAAATGGATGCTCACTTTCCTTAGCCTTATCACAGCTGCTGTGCAAAAGAAGGTTTTAGCTTTTAAGCATTTTGATGAGCACAAGTGCAAAACATGACAGAAAAAAATGAAGGTGAGTGGAAAATGTCTCTCAGTAATATACCAGTATGAAACTGTCTGGTTGGACTCATTCAACATCTTGTCTTGCATGGATTTACCATCAGAGAGCTTCAGGCTGATCTAACTCTTTCATGGTAACAGCTTTTCTCCTTCAGTACCTCAGGCTGAGCTCCAGCTCAGTAACACTGGTCTTTACCCATTAGGTAGCTTCTTGTGGAAAGAAACTCTGAGAAACTCTACAGAAACCTCCTCAAGGTATCTGAATGATTACATATTACTACACTGTACTAAAATTTCTTTTCTAGGTAAGAGACACCAGCCAGGAACCTTGTGGTCGATTATCGTTTTTGAAAGAACCAAAGACTACAAAAGGACTGCCACAAACAGCTGTTTGCAACTTGAATATCACTCTGCCAGCACACAAAAAGGTATTTGTTAGGAAAAATAAACATTTTCCTTAGGGTTGGTTTGGTTTTATTTTTGCTCCTTTAGTTTTTGTCTTTTTGTCTTTTTTTTTTTCTTTTTTTTCCCCTCTCCCTCTGCTAGTGATAAAGAAACCCTGTGAAATGCCAGTGATGAGAATGCTTTGGAATATGATAAAGGCTTTTTAAATTTATGTTTTGTTGGTTTCCTGTATGTAGAACGCTTTTAAAGTCTCTTGTTACCGTGGTGTCAAGTTCCTATAATTTTTATGATTCTGTTTACAGCTCATGCTTCGGCCTGCAAATCATAGGTTTATGCTTTCAGTAATGTCATGTGTTGGTTTGCATTGGATGTAAGATTTTTTTTTCTCTTTTGTGTTGACATTTTGGATTTGCTTTGCCTTATAAATCAGCTTGCATTTTGTGCTCCCAATTTGGTCCTTTTCATATCCTGATATTCTTTTCCCTGCTGTCCATTATAATATTCCTTGTCTCTGCAATGCATCTTGGGACCAAAAGGAAACAGAGTCAGATCAAGATGATGAGGTAATATAAACACTGTCTTCTGTTTTTATTTCCTTCAGATTTAGTGAAGAAAAGTAATACGTTTATAGAAAAAACAAACAACTATTTTTAACTATGGCATTGAAAAGATACCTACAGAATAACCACATCCTCGACATCGGATAGTCTGTTGCAAAACAGTAGAAGTGCACAAATGTGGAAAAAACATGTTTATATATCATGAAATTAAACCAAGTATTGAGTAATAGCAGTCTAAAATTTAACTAATTTTCTTCTGAAAAAGTATATGATTATAAAATTCAGACCAAGTCCATTTTTGGCAAAATCAAGAAGAGTTTAGTGGAAATTATTTTACCTCTTGGAGTAATACTGCCAATGCTTTGGTAACTTGTATTTCTGAGATGGAAAGAAGTATTGCTGAGGCCACAATAGTGGCCTATAATATTTCACTCCTGAAAATAAACTGGATTTTCTTGAAAAAGCGCAATAGTCAAGAGCAATTTCTAAATATTGTGTATGAATCAATTTTCAAATAAACCTCAGGTATTTGCAGCTTAAAAATCCAGTTTGCTGGAAACTGCAATATTAGATTGTCAGGAAATTGAGTGGGTTTTACTCATTAGAGGTAGTAATAAATGAGATCACTTAATAAATTTATGTAATTTCTTTATAATGTAAATAAGCAGCAAAGTTTTCTTCTCTTCCTGGTGGTAAATACATAGCAGTAGCCACCTGCTGATTAAAATAATAATTAAAAAAACAAAACAAAACAAAAACACTCTTTACATGTTAAAAAATAATAATAGCAACATCATTTTGTCTCCACAGGATTTGTTCCCACCAAGCTATTATACAGCTATAACAATAGTTTTCTTTCTAAACAAACTGTATTTTTAGCCACATAATCAAGTGAGCTGATCTCTGAAGGACTTTTAATACTTAAGACATCACACTAGCAGCTATGCCACTGAACTCAGCAACATATGATGCAATTTATTAGTTAAGAGTAGTAGTCTGCTTTCTAATCTGCATCTTTGCATTTTGTGCCTATTAAAAAAATCCCCTCCCATGCCTTTTTTGTCCTTAATGTATTCACTTTAAAGCCAGCATACATTGTGGTGTATGTGCTTTCAGGACAAATTAATTTGGGGAGAAATATTTGCTCGGTCTAAGTTGTACTCTTATGAATGTTTTATGTCTGTATCTGTAGTCTTTTGTGTTGATCTCCTGTTTCTAGCCAAAGGTGGTTTATTTTACAGAGAATTAATAATATCATACCATTTCTAGTAGTGTGAAGTGGTTTATTAAGTGATAATGGGATAATATAGTATTGAGATACTTCAAGGCAGGTTCATGAGCTGCATCTGTTATCTAAGCTCTCTACCTCATAAGCAGAGACATTGTGAGCAGGAAT